CCCCGGGCCCCCCTACCGGTTTTAACTTGGCCGAAGGAGAAGGGTTGTTGTTAGAAGGCGGGTGCGGGCCTGGGGTGTTTCTCCCTCCGGCCACGGGGTCGGTGCCCGCGTGCAGGTGTCTGGGCCTCACCCGCACGCTCCCTCCGCCCGAGCCCGGCCTCCACCTCCCAGGTCCTGGGGACACTGCCCACCTGTCCTGCCTGAGGAATGGCCTGACCAGGCTCGCGGGGAGGCCGAGCCAGCCCCGCCTCTGTCCCGTGAAGTGGGGTCTTGCCGAAGCTCTGCCCGCTCACCCCACCCACCCACCCACGGGGCTTAGAGCCCTCGGCAACCAGACCCTGAGCTGGAGGGTCAACTTTCTTGGGCGTTTCACTATCCATCTAGTTTCTACTTCCTTCTTGTTCTTTTTGGCTTTTTTTTTTTTTTAATTTACATTCATTCCTCATTTTTAAAGTTATCCTTCGGTTTGCCATTCCCAGGATACAGCTGCCATTCCCGCTCAGCGCCCAGGGGCTTGTGGGTGGATGCCCAGTGTGTTTTATTCATTGTCCTGAAAACGAACAGTCACTTCCTTTGCAGTGGGCTCTGCAGTGAGCGTGAGGAATCGGATCAACCCCTCTGACTCAGGGAAAGGTGGAGCCAGGGAAGAATTGTTTCATTATTTTGGACAAGCCCCGGAACGGCCTCTAAGCGCCCACCTTGCACATTGCTGGAGTGGGGTGTGCTGACTGCGGCTTATTTTTCAACTCGTTTTGAGAGATTTGAATGGCTCAGGTTAGTTTGGTTTCCAGTGACCCACCTACGTATTTGTTTCTGACGCAATTGTTTAAATATATGTGCTGTGTACACTAGTACTAGTATAACAGAGTAATATGTTGATTTACGGATTTCACTCAACCAAAATTCAGAGGTGGAATTAGGTTGCCCTAATTTCCTTTGCTAAAATAGAAGTGATCATTTTGCTATCCTCTTAGTCAATGAGTTATCATTGAATCTTATTTTGAATTTTACTATCTCTTTAAAAAAAATTTTATGGGAATCCTGTCACTCAAGAATAAGTTAGAAAAGAAAAAAAGAGAATAAGTTAGAAAAAGACAGTGACTTCCGTGTAAACAATGATTGCTCAGGTTCAGGGAGTTTGAGTGCAGAGGCTTGCTGAGAAGGGGGTGTTTGCATCTCCCCTGTAAGGGCCCCATCTTGTGGAAGTGGTTTGATTAAAGAAGAAACTTCGTCCTAAGATTTCCAGTTGGAGGTGTTTTGAGTTGAGAAAATCTACAATAATAAAAGGGTAATATGCTAATTAGATTGGACAGCCAAATGATCTTCTGGATGTCATTCCGGATGTCCTTCCAGATGAAGTTGCAGTGGCGGGGGCTGGGGCAGAGGTGGTTAGGGGCGATTAGGCAGGCAGGCAGGCAGAGGGGTTAGGGGCGATCAGGCAGGCAGGCAAGCGGTTAGGGGCGATCAGGCAGGCAGGTGAGCGGTTCGTGGTGATCAGGCAGGCAGGCTAGCATCTAGGAGCCAGCAGTCCTGGAATGCAAGAGGGATGTCCCCCTAGGGGTCCCAGATTGCGAGTGCGTGCAGGCCAGGCTGAGGGACCCCCTACCCCCATGCATGAATTTCGTGCACCAGACCTCTAGTATTAACATAATAAGTTGATATCTTTTTATGTTAGAATTCTATTTATAAAGACTACTACTTCACAATTATTTGTTCTGAAATAATAGGTTTTCCTTTTAGAAGTACTGAAAATTTAAGTATTTTAATAACACATAAATGTTTCTGATTTTACATTGTTTTTGTTTCTCTTTTAAAATCAGATGTTGAACAGTGATGTTTCTGACCATAGGCTAAATGTCATAATTAAAAATATTAATGCAATTTCTTTGGAATTGAAGAAAATGAAAGGTAAGTATGGAATCACTAAACTAAAATGTTTGCATGTCATTGTTATAAAATAAATAGTAGAGCCATTTTTGCTTCTGTTGAGGTGTTAGCGAATTTTGCCCACTATTTAGGACTTTTCTGTTTCTTAAGAAATGCGTACATTATAATATGAACTAGATCTCTAAAGATGAATTATGTTTAAGCATTGATCTAGCAGTTAGCCAATTTGAATTCCCATCCTTGACACTAACAAGCTTATGATATTGTCTAACCTCTCTAAATTACTACCCTTTCTTCCTTTCATCAAACTATTACATGACAGTGTCACATTCTACAAAATTCACTGTCTTTATCCATTAATCCTTACTAAGCCTCTAAGATTCCTTACAAATTAAAAATTAGAAGTTTGTGAGTTAAGGGCTCTTCATTTTAAACAGACTCATAGAGTTGGATTAGACCTCATGGGGCATGATGTTTGAGCACTCACCTCACAGATGTATTCTGTTTTCCCCCGGCATGTGAACTCTCATTAATGAACATTTCTAGGGGTAATCTATCCCTGACCAAACATTCCCTCCAGTCTCCCTGTTCCATTTTAGGATAGCTGCTCCTTACGGACTAGCTGCAATCTCTTCCCCATTCTTTCACCTGCGGGTCCTACTTCTAAACGTGAAAACTGCATTGATTATGTAGTTCTTTTGACGACTCTTGGATATTTGGAAATAGCCTTTGTGTCAGTTATAGGCCTTCAGCTACGTGTAAAAAAATACCAACTTAACATGCTTATAAGTAAGGAAAATAGCAAGAAGATCCACGGTGGGGCAGCCTACAGTTGCTTCAGAGTTTTAGAAATTTCATCGGATACTGGGTTCTTTCTCTGTTTTTTCTCTGTTATATTCACTCTGTTCGTCAGTCCTCGAGGTCATTACCTGCAGACTTGGCCAGACACTACCTCTACCTCTTCTCTTTATGTAAGCCTTTCCCTCATCCCTCCAGCACATTTCCCCTTTCCTGTCATTGGCCAGATATGCATCAAAGGCAACCGTCTGCAGCAGCTGCTGCCAAGGGGAAGGGGACTGCCGAGACCAGTGTGGACCAGTCAGAACTTACTGCTGAGGCTGAGGCGGAGAGACCACCACACCTGGAGGCAGAGTGTGCCACCAGGAAGAGGAAGGTGGCTGTTAGTTAGGACCAGAGAGTGAGTGCTGTTACACTATTTCTGCCTGTTCCTCCCAGAGCAGCATTTCCCAGACTGCTCTGTGAACCCTGCTGGCCTAGAGATGTTAGTAGATGGGTGCAGTAACCCTGGGTTCCACATCCTTCTGGGACTTAAGTTTGGGAAGTGCATAATGCTCTGTATTTCTCTCACAAATCTACAGTACACATTAGCAAAGGCACCGAGGAGTCCGATGTAAAGAAATCTGGTTAGCTTTGCTTAATTCATCTCTAAAACCAATCTCAACTTACAGCAAGGATTATCTCCTAACATGTAAATATGCTGAAAACTCCCATTGGTTCACTGCTGTCGTCCTCGAATGGACTATAAGACCTCTTGAGACCAGCCCAGCCCATCCAATCTCTCGTCTCGTTATCTCTCCCTGGAAGTGCTGCGCTCCTACCATGCTGACCTGGGGGCACCTCTACACAGTTGCTTTTTTTGTTTCTGTTTTTTAACACAGGCTTCTCTTTCTGAAATGCCCCTTGCGGCCCCCCCCCCCCCCCCGCCACACACACACACACCTCCACTCCACCAGGTTAACTGCTATTTATTAAACTGTGTCAGTCAAGGCTACTTAGGTTGGAAAACTTCCTTTAAGCCAGCGTGTTACCTCTTCTACCTTTTCATACCATCTATCACGCTGTGTTGTAATTGCATGTTTACTTCCTTTCCCTGTCCCTGCTCAACTGGAAGCTTTTTAAAGGTATTCCTAGCACTTAGCAGTGCCTTGATATAATGGGCTCTTGGAAAATGTTTACTTAATGAATAATTGGTTCTGGATGCTTGCACTTTTAAAAAATTCCTCCCAAACTCGATTATCTAACTGTTCTAGACAATCCTTTCATGAAGTAAATTAGAAATAATAAATATGCTATACATGTCCTGAAAAGTTGTGGGGTAGGTCAGGCAGTTAGGGTACAAGGGGCTTTTGTAGACGTGTAGGACGGTAGACTTCTGGTAAACATTGAAGATTAAATGAACACTCTGTTTACTCCACTCTCCCCCAAAATAATAATGTCAATAAATAATCATAACATTTACCATAATCCAGATATCCTTCTAAGAGCTTTATATAAGTGGACTCAGTTGTCATAACAACCCTGTGTGATAGGAAATATTGTCATTGGCATTTATAGGTACAGAATATCTAACATTGGTAGATCTGAGAGTTAAAGTGATGTCAAACAGGCAAAAATTCATAAGACAAAGAGCTCTCAAAAAGTGTTACCTACAAAACAGAAAGCAAATGGAAACAAACAGAGACGTTTAAACCCTAAAGCCCAAAAATCTAAACTATGAACTGGCTGGGTAAAGCAAAGAAATAGCCCAAAGACTCAACACATGGTTGTACAGAATCCTCTGGAAGTAGCGGGAAAGGTGGAGCTAAGAACAGGAGGACTGGTTAAATGTTTAAGAAGTCATAGGCCCCTAAGGTCTCTTCCTTCTCGACGGAACTGGGCAGCTGTTTCTCTGTGACAGAGACACGAGGTTTATTCCATAAAAAGGTAAAACCAGGGATCCCTGGCCTGCAGCCACTGGTAACAAGCCGAGGGGGAGAGTACTGTACTAAAAATGAGGGTATTAAGACCAAATTGACCTCTAGCTTTCTCTTCCCACTTGCCTATAAAACATCAGAAGCCTGATTTATACCCTCAAGCAGATTTTTCTTTCAGGAATATGACCAGCCTAAGAGAAAAGACCTAAAAATACTGATAGCACAGGTTTCCCCACAAACCACCCAGTCAGACCAGCCCACAATACCACCTACCACGGCAGAGAGCTTCTGTTGTCTTTATAGTGCCACGGTCTCAAATATGAGCAAACAGCTGTGGCACGGACATTGGAGGAAAACATCTACTATGAAAAGCAGAGACAGAACCAATAAATAGGTTCAATCAAGGAGGAAGAAAACCAAATTATGAAGGGAAATGAGAACTCAAAGAAACTATAATATCCACAGAGGAGATGCTGTGTCTATGAAAAGGAACATGAAACTACAAAAAATATTTAGAGAACAGAAGGGAGCTCTTGGAAATTTAAAAATGCGATAATAGAAATAGATCTGTAGAGGGTTAAAGATAAAAATGTAGAAAATACCCTAGAGTATAAAGAAAAAAAGAAGAAGAAAGAAAGTTTTAGGGGGGAAATGACAAACCAGGCCAAATGAAGTCCAATATCCAGTAAATAGGGGTGTTAGAACTTAGACAATGAACGAGGAGAAATTCATTAAAGAAATAGTCTGAGGAACTTCCAGAGTTGAAGGGTATGAGTTTTTACAATGAAACAGCCCAACACAATGGATGAAAATCAATGCACACCAAAATACAGTACTGTGAGGCTTCAGAACACTGGGAGAACAAAAGATCCTCGAAGCTTCTAAAGAGAAACAAGAGAAGCTTGACAGTTCTCAATAGTGACACTGGAAGCTGGAAGAAAATGCAGCAGTGCCCTTGGAAATCTGAAGAAACATGATTTCCAACCTAGATTTTTATATTCAGTGACTCCATTAAGCATTGGTGTAGAGAGAGAACTTTTCAGACATATAGAAGTTACTAAGGTTGTATTTCACCAAACAAGGATGCAGACCAAAAAGAGAAAGACATGAGATTCTGGAAAAAGGATGCTCCACATGAGGGAAGGTGAAAGGAGTCCCTAGGATAATGGTGAAGAGAGCTCCCAGAATGTGAGCTGTGCAGCAGTCCTGGAGGGCATCGGTCCAGGCTAGAGCAGGTCAGAAGGCTCTGGAGAGGAGAGACTTTCAACTGTAGAATAGTTAAGTGCTTGACTGAACTGGGAGAGGAGATTTACCCAACTGGGGTTTGAGATATGTTCATGATAATTAAGCAACAAAAAAAGAAATTAACTGTGGCTGGGTGGTAGCTTAAAGGAAGGGAAATGTCATATTACAAGACTCAGCTGTGAAGAATCCTATGTAATAAAAGCATGATATGCAAATTGACTGAACTGCAGAATGACGGGGGCGGGAGGGCAGCTGGGCAGGCAGTGCCAGGCCAGCCAAAGCGTGTGCCAGCCGGCAGAGGGAGGGGACGGCAGTGGGGGGGAGGGGGAAACCAGCGGTGGTGGAGGAGGATGGGGGGGCGGGGCCGGCCATCACCGTCCCCTGATAGGCCCACCAGGTCACCTCCCGCAGAGGGAGGCCGATGGCAGCTGCAGCAGTGGGGTGATGGGGGGCAGGGCCGGCTACTCGCTAGCCAGTGCCATCCCTCGGCCCACCTGTAGCCTTCCACAGAGGGCTGTCAATCGGACATCCCCTGAGGGCTCCCGGACTGCAAGAGGGCGCAGGCTGGGCTGAGGGACCCCCCCTCCAGTGCATGAATTTTCATGCACTGGGCCTCTAGTACTTATATAATTAAAAATTATAAGCATTAAATACTGAGCTAGCAAAAATTGTACTCAAGTATATTGGGGATGGGCACGAGTAAAAAGTGTTATATCTTAATCTTCTGTAATCAGAAGCAGATAGGTAATACTTAAATTTGAAAAAATAAAATATGCATGTTATTTAAAAATATAGAGGTAATTCCAGCCCCCACCTCAAAAAAAAAAAAAGATAAAAACTCCACAGCCACAAAACAACAAAAGCAATAAAAACAAAATAAGCTCCAAAGTGAGCTCCAAAGTTAGAAGTGGTTGCTTTTGGGAGGTGAAAACTGCTAGTTTTGTAACATGCCTCATAGACCTATTTGATTCTTTATACTATGTGCATGTAGAACACACAAAAGTGATAAGTTTAAAAAGTGTAAATAAAATTTGCATAAATCAAGTTGCAGCTTAGTAAGATTGCTGACAAGTTGGGCTAAAGAACCCTTCTAGTAAATTTTTGTCATGCTTACTTTATAGTACATAAATTTGACTTGAAGTTACAATAAGCACACCTAATGTGTAGTTTGATCAATAATCACTTAAAAGAAAACTAAATCGAGAATTAAGGCAATAGCTACTGAAAGCAACAGTAGTTGTCTAGGGACATATATGCTACAATATGATCCCTTTTGTTATTGTTTTACACAGAGCACTCCCAGTTACTGCTTTGTGACCTTACTCTACAGTTTAGTCACCCTGTGAAGACAGATGACTCCAAGGAAACAGAAAGAAACAAGCCCCTCTTTGAAGAGTTTCAACAGTCAGATGTATCCCTTGCTTCTAACCGTTTTTCTTCCTAATTTCTTACTTATCTGTTGTGAATTTATAACTGTATGTATTGTTGAATTAACAAGTATCTTGGAGAACTGAGTTTACCAATATATTTAATATAATAAAATATACTGAGTTATAAATAATCATTTTATGTTCCTGAAGGCTGTTGTATTATTGTTTTAATATTTCAAAGAATGGCTAATTTATTTCACTAATGGCAAGGGTATGACATAGGAAATTGGCCATGTGACACTGCTTATTATTTACCTTATGCTTGAATTTGGCTCAGGCTGAAGGAGAGTCACTAAATTATAAATGGATGGTATGAGTTTATGTTAGTAAGCTGTCTCCTGGTAGCAGGTGCCCAAAACAACTCAAGCTAACTGAAGCATGTATTGGATCACGTGACTTGGAAATCCATGGTGGAAGTAGATGTCAAGGACTCCGCTAATGGACCAGATGGCTCTGTCCTGGTTCTGTTTCTGTGCATTGGTCTCATCCTCTCCTGTTATGGACTGGTTTCCTCCACAAGACCAAAGGAGGGTAGAGGCATGGCAGCAGACAACTGCAGGTGTGCAGATCCCTAGAGGAGAGAGACCCTCTAATTCAGCCTCTGTGTTTAGCATCCCAGGGAAGGACGCCAGCTTTGGTTAAGATTCTTATTTCTGAGCAGGGTCCTAAGCAACTGTGATTGGTGAGGCTGGGCCATATGCCAGGTCTGTGGTCAAAGGCGGAGAGGCCCTACCAGAACAATGGAGTTGCCGTTGCCTGAAGAAGGGGAGGAAGAATGCTAGTCATGAAAACATCAGGTACTCACCACTGATTTCAGTCATGGCCATGGATAGCTTTTAGCCTTACAATATCTTTACCCTAAACTTCCTAATTTTTGTCCCTTTCCACCCAAGGAGACTTAAAATAATAGGCTTTAGTTTGCCATGTAAACATGATTCATTACCAAATAGTTGCTTTGAAATCTACCATGTCCTTCATTTTAGATATTTTTTAATATAAAGGACAGAATACTATGAAGCAAGACACAAAGTCAGCTCACTCCATAATAGAACTTATAATGGTTGCTAGACTCACTACCCAGCACCAAGCTCAGTATTTAACACAGAACAGGGACTGAATAAATGCTTATTGAATATCCTATTGAATAAACATGTAAATAGTGCAGGTTTTTTCAGCTTTAGAACTAGTTCTGGACCCTAAATTGAGAACTTTGGCTTGTAAGGATGATGTTTTGTGAAACATTTTTATCATCATTGGTGAAAAGTATCCACACACTCATCATACCAAATTGTCAGTTTTAACCCAGTGACACTCTTGATCCCTTCCATGTTCTATTAGCTCATGAAATGAAGTTGCAAGATATTCTTTGCCACCCAGAAAACGTGTAGATTAAGCAGAGAAGCAAACAATTTTTCTTAGTAAAAGTTGTGGAAGAATAACCAAGGGCCCAACAGGGAAAACTTGAAGAATCACTGAATGCCAGGTTTTTGTTTTGCAAAATGCCTACTGCTTGTTAAGTGAGATTTGTTAGCAAAGGAAAGAGCTGCATTGCTTTGCAGGATTTATGAAGCTCTTATGGGAAGGATGAGGAAAAGGTCTTTATGACAGTTGTCAGGGGGATAAAAAGAGGTGGAAGAAAGGTTATCTGGCCAGATATTTTTCTATGTATATTCATTGCTTTTTCATCTTCCCAGGAAGACTTTGGTAAAATCTACAGCCAAATCCTTGACATCTACTCCTACCATGGACTTCCAAGTCACATGACCCAATACATGCTTCTTGGTACTTAAATCCACGTGTATTTGATTTAAAATGTTTTCTTTTTGTATTTATAGCTTACGTGTGCTTTAAAACAAAAATATAATAGTACGGACCAAACAGTAAAGTCAATAAAGTTGTTTTAGGAACCCGAAAGTAAAGCAAAAGGCAAATTAATTTTAATTCCAGGAAGTTACTCCAACATGCATTTATCTTTTCATAAAAAAGTATACAAAAATCCCCCCAACAAAAAGAAACACCAAATAAGAGAGAATGAAATATTTTTGAAGCCTTTTAAATTATTGCTGCAAAGAAAGTTAATTTTAGAAATTTTCAAATTACTAGTATACATATAAAAACTCATGATTGCCACTGATGGACAAGGTTTGGCTATCAAAAAATCAGTTTTATGTGATAACAAAAGCTATTATTGTTTAAATGTTTTGAGACTTGCCCCAAGTTATTTTTGTAGCTGTGGAAACTACTGTACTTTGAAACAGGCATCAAAAATGCACATTATTTGCACAAATCATTACAGTGCACACCTACAGTGCCAGTGTGCACATTACCACTCATGCACTTCACAAACAAGAAGAATAAATAAATTATGGGACACGTGACAGTCTTCATTTCAAACCTTTGTTAAGTGAAAGGACCAAACCCTCGTATTCATGCTGAGGGGTTCGATTCAGTCCTGAGTGTTTGTCCAGCCACCCAGGTTGGCTGATCTTCCGCACTGGCCACAGTCAGGGAAGGTTCGCCTGCTCGGCTAACGTGCTACAGGCAACCTGCCGAATGGGTTAACGTGCACTGGTATCTGGAGCCTCGGTTCTTCCCATCGATGAGCAGGAGCGGCATTTTCCGGAAGTAGTCGATAATATCTGACACAGACTGAAAGTCCTGAAAGATTCAAAATGGAGATAAATCAACCCTGGAGCAGGTAGCATGAATTGCACCCTCAGTTTTTTAATCTGCATAATATCTTACCTCTTGAAGTTAGGAGGATTTTTATTTTTTTAATGTAAAATTTGACAAATGTTTTAATGATTTCTGCTGTCACCAACATCCAATATACTATGGATAAAAGACTATATATATATATATGTGTGTGTGTGTGACTAATTTTTAAAAAATATATTTTATTGATTTTTTACAGAGAGGAAGGAAGAGGGATAGAGAGTTAGAAACATTGATCAGCTGCCTCTTGCACACCCCCTACTGGGGATGTGCCCGCAACCAAGGTACATGCCCTTGGCCGGAATCAAACCTGGGACCCTTCAGTCTGCAGGCCGACGCTCTATCCACTGAGCCAAACCAGTTAGGGCGACTAATTTTTTTTTTAACTTCAGACAGGGGATCATATATAGAGGGGCCTAATTATGATACCTTGGCCTTTGCCTCTCTTGGTGTTTTTGATTTTGGTTTCTGAATTCCATATCTCAGTCATTAATATGTGAGGAGGTGTAGGAATCAGGAGGCCACTGTCCCTGGGGTCTGGAGGGGACGTCTGCAACATGGCATAATAATTCCTTCATGATCTCTCTGCTGCCTGCCCACTGCCACCCCCGCACTCACCAGGGCTCTGTAGCCGAGTCTGCATTCAGTGCCTGGATCACCTATCCCCAAGGGCCAGACTGGGAAAACGCCATCCACCCTTCTAGGTGGGTCAGAAGTCACCTAGGTATCCCGACAGGACCGTGCACTTCCTCTAAGACCACTCTGCTAGGCACTTCCCTCGGGGCAGCTGTGATTCAAACACTTGACCAAAATCATGTGGGGGCTTTTTCCCTGCTCATTTACATGATCATAACTGAAACACATTTGGAGTGAAATGGAAGTTATGGTGGGCTGTTTCTCAGTCTGGGAATGTTTGGTTCGCCTGATTCTCCCTCCTGGAACTTTGAACTTAAAGAACACGTTTGGGGCAGTAAATTTAGCTGTTAGTTTCCTTTGCAAAAAGCAGCCCTGAAAGGCTTTCCTCATAACCGGATTACCACCCAAAAAGTGACTGTATAAACCTCGGCTGAACAGAGGAAGGTGTCTTTGGCAATTTGGCCACCTTCATTGGCCACACCTCCAGTTTAGTAGGAAATGAACCAAGTATCTAAATAACCACAACAAACATTCTATTTTTCCATTTGTTGATTTAAAATACAGCCTTATAAATACCCCGCAATCTTCCATTGAAATGATGTGGCAAAGATGACTGAGAAGGGACTTGCCTTTGACACCATCCAACTGGAGCTCTTTGGAGAAATTTAAATGTTTACATATATTTTCTGATTTCAAAAGTTGCACATGTGACTTTAGACTATTTGGAATAAAAGGTAAAAGAAAGATTCCTGTGGTAGAGGTGTGGCTACTGTTAATATTTTGTTTTATTGCCTTTCAGTAAATGAAGGGTTTCACGAACATGATTTAACTTAAGCTGCCGTACAGTATGGACCTGCAAAGAATGTTACAGTGAAGTTCCACTCGGTAGGTATGCAGGGAAGCAGAACAAGAGAAGTGGGGAACATTTTGGAACTGAGGTCCTTACCTCCTTCCCTCGGAGCCCAGTTCCCAGCATGTAAGCGTGGCTTTCCTCCACGTAACGGATCTGGACGTTGTAGACCTTGTCTTTGTATAACACCATGAGGACGTACGGATTGCTTGGTGTTTTCCTCGAGCTGTCTCTAACCAGGAAAGTGCCATCCTGAAAGGAGACATTCGTGTGGGGATGAGAACAGTAAGGCAACAGTGGGCCAGTCTCTAGGGATCTGGAAAACTGGGTTACAAGCCAAGCCGGTGAACATTCAGGTCCCAAACTGCTAAAATCCCAGGAATGGTTATGGGGAAGGAGGCAGGAGAGAAAGGCCTAAGTCAACCTCTGCAGTCTCTGACGAAAGGCGTGCCCTTCTCGGTAATGAAACACATCGGCGGGTGAGTGGGCCCAGGGCCAGGCGACATAAGGACTTGGTCAGCTAAGGAGATAGCTCCCTACTCCTGGGAGCTAATTCATGTCCTTGCCCTTCCTCCCTCAGCCAAAGCCAGAAAACACCCAAACGCCTTGAAATTCACTCACTTTTTTAAACCTCCTGACCTCCAGGTGGAGGGTTCGACCCTGAACAAAACTGAACGTGGACTGTCTTTGTGCTTATATTTTTTTTCCTGATATTTCCTAAAATAGTGTTGTGATTCATCCTGTACTTTAAATTTTTATTCCATAAATTATTGCTATCTAATATAGCATTTCCAGAGAATGATATTAAATTAGAATTGTCCGCCTGGATGTGATCTCTTCCCACTGAGCACGAAGAGGAAGACTGAGCCAGTAAGACGCTGGAACTTTGGGAGAGAGTCTTCTTTGCACACTGTATGATTCCTATGACAAGTTGGGCCTTTTTGATGATAAAATCTGCGATTCTGCCAGCCCAGTGCGGCCTTAATTTAGATTTTTCCCGGGGTCCTAGGAATCTCTGTGGCGGCTGCTGGGAGGTGTGAAGCCGGTACTAACAGGTCCCCTCGGTGTAGCAGCGTGGGCCTAGCAGGA